ATGAAATTACAAAAAATAACAAATCCTATCCAATAAAGTTACAAAAAACTTCTCCAATTGGATATGAGAGAGTTCAAGCTGTAGCTATTGAAAGGATGTACATATTTGCACCAAGATAAAGCCAAAAAAAGGATAGGGTCAATTAGATGTTGTTGAAACGTTAGTTTGAACATAGCAAGGAGAAGAAATTAGAATTCACGTATTGTCAGAACATGAGACACATTCATAAGGGTTAAGAGGTCTTAGGCACCATAATTGAGGCCTAATTTAAAAAATTTTGCGATACTTTTAAGTTTTAATTACATAAAAACATGCAGTTCAAATAAAATACAACTGTAGGGTTCCTAAAATTGCAAAGCTATTGCATTGCAAATTGAGAAATAACAAGATATTGTTAGGGAAAACCTGCTTTCACCAATTCAACTTGCTCTTCTTAATACCCAGTTAACTGCTGCTGGGTACAAAATCAGAATAGAAAAATCAGATAACGAACCTCAGTGCCTTGATGATCATCAGCTCGACTCCTTTTCCTATGACTAGGAACTTGTTCAGGAGAAGAATGCTTGACGCGACTAACTTCGGATCTTGGAGGAACCCGGGTTTCATCATTAGCTATCCCTTTCCATTCCCTATTACGCCGCCTGCTAGATAATTTTTCAGACTTCCCTCTTTCTGAATCAGGCTCCAGATGGTGAGAGTCATTTCTTCTATCTGGTTCTGCTACTGGGGAATTTGGTATGGGCACTTCATTGACAGAAGATTTTGTAGGCTCCACATATAAATCCATACTTGAGGCCAGATGGTCCCACAACCTATTGAAATGAAGCTTATCAAATAATTAGCCAAACTGACTGCAAGAATGACTCAACACAAAGTTACTGCCCAAATTACTATCCTGACCAAGAAGAGGATGAGAACAAAATTACCAAGATACAAAAGAATGACTATCGTCAGCCAAAAATACATTTAGCTCATTCTTTGCTTCGTCTTTGCTTCTGCCGTTCCTCAATAAGACAATCACGTATTCCTATCCAAAGAACAATCATTAAACTTAATAAAACTTGATCTCTCCAACAGAGGTTCTAAAACCCAGTTATTGAAGTAAATTCACCACCACTTTATGATGAAAACAAATAGAAACATGGATGCAATTTAAGCAACAGAGGAGCAGACATATGAAAAATACACAAGTATAACATGGAATTAAAGCTAAAAGGGCAGCAAGGAAAAATTCCATACTCGGCAACATCTAATTTTAGCATATACCGGCAGCAGATGATAGCACCGGTGCACCACACGAGAAAAAAAGAGGATATAAACTAGCTTTATAATTGTCTTTCTATATCTAGCACAAAGACAATAACATGAACCACTTAACCTAGTGTTCACAGCCTCTGAAAACCTATGAAGCCCTCAAAGATACCTTCATCAAATGATATCTGACTCCTACTTGAAAACATCAATATAAGTTATTTTAAATAACATGTTCTATATAAGGTGCCTCAAAAGCGCACAACACTACAAGTAAAAGCCTCTAAGATTCCAAAGAAAGAATACAACATTAAAAATTCTTGATATTTTTTATTTATACTAAGGTCAAGAAAAAATGAAGATTACTGAAAAATGGTTAATTCTCTGTTAAAGATGGCATCTTCCTTATCAAGATGAATATCTCCATTGTGGTTTGAAGACAATTCATCCAAGACAACTGGTACGGAATCCTCACAACTCTCCAACAGCTAATTAGCCCCAATCATGTCCAAGTTGATAAAGTCATTCTCAGATGCAAAAGTATGGACCAAACTAGACTTCCCTGCCTCCAAGGAGGTTAGACTCCCTCAAGCATTCCAAGAGTTTATTTATCCCTTCCTATGGAGGATGGACAAAGATTATAAATATGACCCTGAACAAATGGAATTTTTATTCTTTCACAAGCATTGGGAATGTGTGGAGAATTTCTCAATTATGCCACTAAAAATCTTCCGAAATTGGATCTCATAGATGCTTTAGTAAAAGTTAAAGGGCCAATCTGATTACATTCTCGGTTCTTGTTTTTTGTTTCTTGTTTCCAGTTTTTTAGAAACACAATCGTTCTTGATTCTTATTTCTCATTTTTAAGAAACGTTCCAAAATTGTGTACAAATTTTAAAAACAACAAAATCAAGTTTCTTGTTTCTTGTTCTTGTTTCCAATTTTTTCCAAAACATAAACACAACGTTAATTTATCATTCTAGACTTATAAAATGCATGATAAATATTAAAAAATAAATACAACTTTTTTTATATTTAATTAAAAAAATATTTCATATAAATAATTTAACATTATTTTTAATCTAAAATTTTAGAGAAGAAACAAAAAATAGTTATCAAACATATTTTTGTTTCTTTTTCCAATAAAAAACAAAGAACAAGAAAAAAGAAACAGTTACAAAACGCAAGTCTACATAAAACAGGAAACAAGAAACAAGAAATAGAAACATTACCAAATGGGCCCTAAGTCACCCCTATCTGTGATCAAAATATTGTTCCTCGAATCAAAATTTTGTTCAAATTGCCCCTTTCTATAATGCTAAGTATTTGGTTTTAAAAAGTCACTAGAGTCGATGACTATTTATCTTGAGTTGCAACCATTGATTTTGAATCTTCTCGAGCAATTGGTCCTTGCTATACCAATGTTTTAAAAGGCTAAAGGCGGCCTCGAGGCTTTTTCTCTTGAAAAGGCGAGGCGTAAGCCTCAAGGCGGTATGAGGCGTAAGCCTCAATTTTAATTAAAAGAATTAAACAAATCCTAAATTTGTGTGGTCAAGTATTACCAAACATAATAGTTATATAAAATTATCAAAATATCCACTTGTTACTTGTCACTCAAAAAAAATTCTAAAAAAACATCATAACATCACTACTATTATCACCAATATAACTTACTTATTCTATAAATTGTCGTCTTTCAATATTTTTAAAGTCTAGGTAGTAAAAGTAGTAATAGATTGAATTGTTACAACTCCTGCTTAGGATTCCATACAAAAAAAACCTTGATATTTTTTAGGAATTGGAAAAATTAATAGTATTCTTGTAATCATTACACGAGGCGTATACTTTAAGCCTCAGTGCATTTTCAAAGAGGCGTAAGCCTCTTCTATGCGAGGCGTAAGCCTCTTATAGTCCAAAGAAGGCGTAAGACTTGAGGCTAAAAGTTAGAGCCTTGCCTCGAGGCGAGCCTCAAGGCGTAAGCCTCAAAAGCCTTTTAAAACATTGTGCTATACAATCCTAAATGGTAATTTGTACTCAACATTTATTGACCCCTCTAGGCTCTATCTCAGCACAACCTAACAAAAAATAAAAATTAAAAATGCTACCCTACTTGATGAGGCTATACATTGCTTGGAATTTTGGAGAAGTCCTTTGGATTAGAAACAACCAACTCCCTCTGTCTGGGACCAATTGTCTCCACTCTTTTCAAGAAAGGTCAGCCCTTCACCATTATTGCCTACCTCCCCTTCTCTTTTTTTTTTTTTTTTTGGATAAGAGCCTACCTCCCCTTCTCATCTTGACCTTTCTCCCTTAAGACTATTTTTCGAGCCTTATTTGAAAGAGGGGATGTTGCAACCCTTCCAAACTTGTGGAGACAACCTTCTATTCCCCCTCCCCAAACCCCACCCTCACAACCTTGTTGATGCTGAGGTTGAAGACGAAGTAGATTCTTCTCGGCCTTCTCCTTCTATCCTAAGAGAGTGCCGACCCATTGCTTTCCTCACAACAAAACTTTGGCCAAGAGGTTCATGAAAAGCCTAAACCTGTGCATTTTTCCTATTCCCTCCAATCGTATGAAAAAGAAACGGCGACGAAGAAAAGCACAAGAATTAGATGGCCTCTAAAACTTGAATCTTCACTCGAATAAGAAAAGAATTTATAAAATGAGAAGGTGGTTTGCCCATGAAAATGTTAGGACCAACCGGCAAATGGCCAATATCATAATGTTGTGAAAATATAGAGGTGTTGGTCGTCTTAACAAGTCCCACCTTCATATTTAGGAGGAATGTAAGAAGCTTGAGAATTGAAACCATGATCCTTAAAAGCTCCCATCAACAAATCAAAATATTATCAAAACTATTTGGATCTCTAAAGAAATTGGTTGGACTTCTCTAAACTCGTATGGTTCCTCCTTCTATAATGGGGCGAAGTGTTTGTTCCCGAACGACGATAGTGGAAAGACACTAAGGGAGACTTTGGAAAGATTTTCTATACTTGGCCCTTGAAGTCATCGAGAATTCTCTCTTAAAGCATCAAGTTTCCTTCGGCTAATCCTTCTTCTTCTTCAACTTTTCAATATTTATGGCACCTCTCAAGATGACCATATCAAGATCTTTTTGCTGGGGGAATTGGAAAACTTGAGTGCCTTTGTTATGCCTAATGGAGTTGGTAGAGACTTCAACATCTCCTAATGAGGTTGAGAGAAACTCACCTCCAAAAGCCCCACCAAAAGCATGAAGCTCTTTGAGAAGGATAATGACAACCTCTCCCTCATTGATATGCCTCGTAACAATTGCAAGTTAACTCGATCCAACATGGAGATTGTCTTGACCCTCATTGAAGATTTCTAGCCTTCCATGATTGGCTCCTCTAATTCTCCAATTCTAGGGCTAAAGACCTTGAAAGACCCACCTTCAACAACTTAATGACCCTTTTAGAATTTGGTGACATCAAACCTGATCCTATCCCCTTTACATTCATAATTTAGTGGTATAAACACAATAATTTCTCAAAGACTTCCAAAAGTTGGTGGAAACTCAACTCATCTTGAGGGTTGGCTAATAGGTGATTTTATTTGCAGACTAAAGAAGAGAAAAAGCTTGCTGAAAACATGGAACCTTCAGAAAAGCTAGAATTCTTGTTGATTCCAAAACTCTAAACAACTTGCAATACTTTACCCTTCTTGGGGCTAGCAAAAGGGCTTCTGAAATTAATCTCAAAACCCAACTCACGGGTCTAGCAAAAGGCCCCAAGCATGGCATTAGGTAGAGGCTAGCTTCAGAGAGGAGAAAATCGTTTAAGCTATCTCATTTGAAGAGTAAAAAATTACCGAAAGTCGATGGTGAATTCTTTAAAAACTTTTGAAACACCCTCAAGGAAGACATTATAGATATTCCAAGATCTTTTTTTCAGAATGATACTCTCAAGACATCCCTCAACAATGAAATATAATGCAGACTACGAACATTTTTCGTCCTAATAGCTTAATCTATTGCCTCTACAAGATTCTTCTCTTCCCAAATCTTCTTAGTTGTTTAGGAGAATGTTCTTTTCATGATCACCTTTTGGAGTAATCATTATAGGCTATTCTGTAAATTCAACCATTTCCTTTTATGCTAATTAGATTCTTCCCTCTTTATACATTTCACAATGAAATTATTTCTTATCGAGGAAAAATAGAAGCTAACCATCAAAAACCAAACGAACAAACTCGGCTTCCAGTTCACCTAGCTCGGAGGAAGGTTGTATCAAAGAGGAACAAGTAAACAGATGACGACTAACCAAAATATTAAACAAGCTAATGCATAGCACAGTAAAAGATGCAGTCTGCTTTCGATAAATAATAATATATGGCATTGAGTTGGAAGACATCTAATAGATACGAACCACCTACATTTCATGACTTCTCTAGTTCACCTCAGGCACTTCATTATTTAATGATAAAGAATGAGAACTTTTCATTTCTTTTTCATTCGGCATTGGCGAACATATAACAATCCTTCCCCCCCGAATAACCTAGTGGACATTGCTAAAACTTCCAAATACCGTGTTATACAAATGTCGAAATGGTAAAACTCGAGGAGATAATCTCATTGCTTCCCAAAAACCTCTCAGGCACAAGAATGTAAAAAAATAAAAAATAAATAAAAAGCTAGTCCGTACCACGAGAGTGTCATCGGTATAGTCGCCCATGAATTCCTTCATCTTCAGCTTTATCCTCTCTCTCAGCTTCGCCATTCCCTCACCACTGAAATCAACCTTGAACGTCCGATCATCGACACGATCCACACTCCCCATATCCGACGCCTATATCTCAAAGTTCCGCAAACCAGAACCACCAAACGCTCACTCTAACACTAACACCGGAGCTGAATATATTCAAACCCTCAAATATTGAGCACTGGAATTGCAGCTTCCATGAACCCTAACGGGCTCCGCCGACTCCTGCGAAACTCGACGGAGAGGAACCGATTAAACAAGGCAGCGGCTGGAAATTAAACGCAGAAAAGCGACGGAGAGCGGATTTCATCAGAGCACATGGCCGAGGGAAAGAGATTTGAGAGGAAAAGAAAATGAAAATTGAAAAATTAAAAATGAAAAAGAAATGAAAAAGGGTTATATACGTATTGCAATTTGCTTCCCATTTGTTTTGGGCCCTGGTTTTCGGAAATTGCTCTAAACGAGCCGTTACCGGTTTGGTTTGGGCCCTAATTTCTCAATTCCAATTATCGTAGAAATTGGTAAAAGCTGTTTAAAATAAATTTGGTTACTATTCGGTAAATTCTATACCCATAGAAATTCTTTTATATAATTTTATGGTTACATTTTAATAAATTTTATGAATAAGTTGTGATCGAAATAAATGAAAATAAATGGATCAAAATTATTATTTTTTAAAAGTATAAAAACTAAAATGGACATTTCAAAATTACATAAACTAAAATAATCAAAACTAAAATTACGGGGAGAAACTAGTATTTAAGGATACCTATATGTGTCTTTTGCTGTAATGAAACTTTTTTAAAAATAATTTTATTATGTTATTTTTCTTCCCTGGATACTTTTTAAAATTGATATGGTAAAAA